GGAGCATGAGCAAGCGATTGCAGGGCAGCACCTTTACCGTTGGCAGTGCCTAATATTGAATAGGCATCGTGAGTCACCGAGTGACTGATTGGTGCCAATTACGATGCAGTTTTAATTCGACCAGAAAGCTGAAACGTGGTATAAATATAGTTGTGTTTGTGAATACTGTACCGAGATTAATCTTCAAATGTAAATTTAAAATCCAAAAACAAAAACCTTTGATTTTAGTAGATTTTTTCTTTTTACTTTTTAGTCTCTGAACCAATGTAACCATTTTTTTTAATCTGGGGGTTTTGACGAGTGCTGAATCCAAATATGGCATCGATTGCTCATTAACCACATTTTTTGAGCGACTTTTTTTCGAAGAACGTGATACAGCCTGTTAAAGGAAGTGTTATTTGTGCTTGTGCACAACTGCCAATGCAGGGGCATTGCCAAACAATTTGTTTAACAAAAAAAATGGGTAAAGTCTGCTACCAGTTACTCGTAGGGGATATAACAACATCATCAACCATGACCTATCGACTGCTGGATGAAGACCTGCGCATGCTGTTGCCATCTCTCAATCATCAATGCCACAATTTATTTCACTCCTTCCCAAGAGCTGACTTCATTAATCCACCTCCACGTGTCCACATGTTCCCGTCAATTGGCTTCCATCCTGTTCAGCTATCATCTCTTGCAGCCACGATTCGTCACACCTTCACCGAATTACCGTTTCTTAACAGCCAAACGTGGCGTCTCTAATTTCAATTTGTTCTCTGATACACGTGTCCTTCTGTGTCGTCGCTCAATGCCCAGCATGGATTACTCCATGCCCCCTTGCATCCCATGATCCCTGCCGCCAGAGCCCACGTTCCTTCTGTGGCGCAGTGCACATGTAAAGCTGAAAAGTGAAATGCCCTTTGCAAAAGCGAGCACATAATGCAATTAATCCCTTATGTAAGAGTAACCTTTGTAGAATTAGTTATGTCACGAGTTTTTTTCTTCTTCTTTCTATTTTAGCCGAGGGCGATGTTCAACAATCATAGTAATGAGAGCTTAAGCTGCTCGGTATCACGAGGCCATTATCGTGGACTTTGCAGCTGATATTCTTAGTTTTTTTTCGGTAAAGTCACGTAGGTATAAAATATGAATTAAAATTAATAAGAGTAAAATAAAATTAAATAAAAATCACAACGTTTCGGAGGCAACACAAGCTTCCGTCTTCAGGTGGAACCGTCACAGCACGATTGCTGTCGTGATTTTTATTTTATTTTTACTTTACTTTTATTAATTACATTTTTTTACCTACGTGACTTTACCGAAAAAACCTAAGAATATGAATCCTTGCAGTCACGAAAGCTTCAAATCTAGAATTTGCAGCTGGTGGTTCACGAGCGAGCACGGTTGGCTGCGTACGGTGCGAAAGAAGTTCAACGCACACAGATACATTCATGAGCGGTCAAAGTATCAAACACTCATCTATACTGAGCATTTGGTTACATCCAACGGTGCAATGATCATGACAATGGACTCGCAATCCAGAGGTCGCTGGGTTCGATTCGATCTCTTGGCGCGGCATTTGAAACAACGGTGCAAGTTTATTACACCCCCCGTCCCACCAGCAGTATAAATGGGTAAGAGCAGAGTTAGTCCATCGGCGGGTGGTGTCAGTTGGGAGTAAAGAGTAGCTACTCCCACTTCTTCAAGGACGTCTGGTCAGCATGGAAGAGTCGATCAAAAGTACACATCTAGAGCGGTGGTTCTCAAAGTGCGGTGGTTCTCAGAGGGCGGTCCCCAGACCAGATCTCGAGCACTCCCTCTCTCCCTCGCTTCTCGGTGGCAGCCCCAACAGTCTGGAACGATATCCCTCTGCACATTCGCAGCATCACCTCAATCGCCTCCTTCAAGAGAGACTTACAAACTCACCTCTACAATCATGCTTTCGAGCGACTCTGAGCTTGGCTCCGCGCTTCTGAGTTGCGGCCACTACGTCTGAAAATTTGCGCGCGTTACAAATTGAACTATTATTATTATGGAGCGGTCTTTCGCCAGCAGTGACATGGATGGTTGCTTATCGGCTCTGATAGTTCAAACGTGCGTTGATTCTCCTTAGTAAGAAGGATGGACCAATGTGTCAGCAGGTATCGATGCGATAGACACCAATTCTTGAGTACACGTTTTAAAAATGTGCACATCTCATACATGACGGGTGATCCAGGCAGACTCTAGAAGCCACTATATTCAGCACAATGTGAAAGAAAGATGTTATACAATGGCGCACTGAGCACCGAGGGAAACTAAATAAAATAACAAAGGCAACCTCTACCGCCCACTGGTGGACGTACAAGAACGATCGTAATTGCGCTGTGGTGACTCTTTACGTAATAATACAAAGAAACGCAGAGCACATTAATTAAATCTCGCATGACCATGTTGTGCAAGTAAGATTGGACTGCACGTGCTAGCGAGTATTGACTAAGCGGAACGTAATCGGATAATTAATTTAATCACTTTGATAAGAATCATAAAAATTGACGTTTAAAAAAAAACACACACCGTGTAAACGACATTGAATGGCCAAGGGGTGTTGGTGGGGGGAGGGAATGGCAGCGTTTTGCAGAGAGAGCAGAACCGGCCCTAGACCTTTGGGGGCCCTAAGCAAAATTTGGTTGGAGGCCCCTTTGATGTATGATTTTTTTCACCCACTAGCTAGCAGTGACTCTAGGGGGCCCTCTGCTGGCCACGAGGCCCTTTGCAATTGCAAGTGTCGCTTAGTGGCTGGGCCGGCTCTGAGAGAGAGTGAAAGTCATTGAAGGTCACCGCCATAATATTTCTACGCTGATATTGAGTCGAGTTGAAGGCGTGGGTGGGTGGGAGCGGTGGGGCAGTGGTCAGAGCACCGCCAACCCAAGTTTGAGTCCCAGCCACGATTAACAACAAACTTTGACTGGGCACCCCCTTCCTCCTCCTCCTCATCATCACTTACACAGCCCATTCTCACCGGCGCTCCTCTGGTGAGGTGTGGCTCAATAACAAGCCATGAATGAAAGGCGTGGGGAAGGCGGTGGACCAACCAAAGGCTGTGATTTTTGTTTTGTTTTAGCCTGCATTGACGCAGTCATGATTCTTTTACAGATATAAGTGGCTTATAATATTATCCATTACAGAGGCTTTTTTTTTCTGGGTAAGATCGTGTACATATAAATGTGTAAAATTTCGATTTTAAGCTTTCGTGACTGCAGGGATTCATCTTCTTGGTTCTTTCGGTAAAGTCACGTAGAAGGGAAATAATAAAATAATAAAAATAAAACAATAAAATAATTCTCACGACGTTTCGGCCACAACGCAAGACAGACGCTGTCTTTCCAACAGACCTGTTCTTCACCTGAGGACGGCTGCTTGCGTTATGGCCGAAACGTCGTGAGAATTATTTTATTATTTTATTATTTTTTATTTTATTATTTCCCTTCTATGTGACTTTGCCGAAAGAACCAAGAATATAAATGCGTCGTTAAACCTGCCATCACCCGATACAGCCAATTAGTAAGGTCTGTCACATAAACAAAACATGCCATATTGTTAGTAGTTCAGCACACCGGGATGTTGGAGAGTAAACCCACAACATTTACAATTCGAGTACGACGTTTCGCCAGTAATAACAACCAGCCCCACCAGGCAACAATGCCAGAGTTTTACAGAATAATAATACTGGTAAAAAATATAATTATCAGGCATGTCAATATTCATCTTATATTCATCGATATTCATCCAATATTCTGGCCAGCGATTCAATGAATTATGATTTGACGTTGCAAGTCTACAGAATAATCAATTCTCTCTCGTCAATGTTTTCACGTCTCATTCGTATTTATTTAAAAGTGTTTCTGTCTGGATAATTTTATTAATTCCAGTAGCCTAAATGTAATATTGAAATATCAAATATATTCAATGTGCATGAATTTCAAATCATCGATTCTCACACGCACAATTCAATGCATTTATCCAGTACGTAATAACCTATTTAAATCTATGAATGAATGAATGAATGCTTCCTTATAGGCCAAATTTCATGCAGCCCTCCAACTGCTTACTCTCAGCACTGCTGGTGGAAAGGGCCTCCAGTAGAGGTGGCTAAAGAAAGCCCCACTGCCGACTCTTGCACACTGTTCAGGCAACACACTTGACCCCGCTTCATCTAATCGGCCGACCGACTCATTGCGTTTTACCCGTTCGCATTGCTTGGTGGATAGAGGGGGGTGGATTTAACGCTTTTCCCATTCCGAGACATTTGAAAGTTACAGGGTGAGTCCCGTTCACGAATTAACTTCTGAACGTGCAAGCGGCTCAAGCGTTAATTTTATTTAGAGAGGCTTAGCGCCATCGTTTTTAAAGACATTGTAATCACCACAGAAAACTGTAGAGACACGACCGCACTATGATAATTGGCACCAAACTGTGCCACACGCCCTCCCGCATGGCTTTGTGAGAGCCTCGGTAACGATACATTTATTTTATCTTTTTACGTCATCAGAATGGAACAGGAAGGAAAACTGATGACGTACACGTGCATCATCGGAAAGGGTTAAGAAACTGGTTGCATGGGCAGTTGAATCAATTGGCAAGTTACACGATGTGGCTAATAGAACCGATGTGGCAAATAGAACATACATGAAATCAGATAAGTATCAATCTTGATTTGAAGCTTTCGTGACTACAGGAATCCATACTCTTGGATTCTTTCGGTAAAGTCACGTAGGTATAAAATTAAATAGATCACGACGTTTCGGGCGCAACACAAGCGTCCGTCATGCAGACTGTTTTAAAACAGTCTGCATCAGCAGCAGACCATGCTATCCCACCTGATGACGGACGCTTGTGTTGCGCCCGAAACGTCGTGATCTATTTTATTTTATTTTATACCTACGTGACTTTACAGATAAGTATCAGTTGAGTGTCAAGGCATTATTCATGAGGGTCCTGCTTAGCAACGCTTGCAGTGAATGTTGTCTCCTCACCTGCCCCAGTGATGTCAGGGACTTGTTAATGGCTGCGGCCTCCACGAGTCTCTGGCCGGTTGCCTCCGTTCGAGAGATCCTCTCTGAGCCGGCCAGGTCACCGAGAATCAAAGAGCCGTGGGAAGCGGAGCCGGAGACCACATCGACCCCCTCCAAGCTGAGTGTCATCAGCAAATGCGAGCGGGAGCTGTGGCAAAAATAGTCACAATTGTGGCCAAGGTTATGTATTGCTCAGTTGTATTGTGCACCTTTCGTCCATTGGCACATACTGATATTAGTATCATCATCAGCCATGGTTAATCCTCTGCTGAATGAAGGCCTGTCGAAACTGCGGACACCTTTTATGGTCCAGCAATGTCATAATCAATTTAGCACCTGCACACATATTGAATTAATTGACATGTCTCCCAGGTGAACGTTCTCGAGAACGTGTTCAAGAACATAAATCAAGTGTGAGTCCAGGTGATTGGATAGCTTCAAGGTCAGAGCACTGGACCAACACTGCTTAGACCCTGGGACCAAATCGGGGTAGCTACCCAAGTCTAATGAGCTGGTGGTGTCAGCTCAGTCACCAATTACTGCAACAAAAAAAACATTACATTTGGTTTTCACTCAATTTAAATATATTCCAGTTCTTAGAATAAGAAAAATAAATAGAAATTCAATGTTAATAAAAAAAATTTTAACAAGGGTATTCAGTCCGCGGTGACCTGATGAATTTAATTTCAGTAAAATTGCACATGAATAGATGATAATTAACAGAATGTTACTTCATTCAGCACTCACGCAGAGCAGCGCATCACCTCAGATTGGAGAATGGCCAATTGAAGGAGTATTTGGCTGCTATAAATTTCCACGCGATAAGCCACTTCGTTGAGATACCATTTGAGGCCTGGTCGTTTCTGAAAAAGAGCTAAATAGCTCAGTGGGGCCTTACCTGGTAAAGTTAAAAATAAGTATAACCAGTAAAAACAAAGTGTTTCACTATAAATCCTTTATATGCGTGGCGGCTAGAGTCCTCTCGTCCTCTGGCTTGAGATGGCTGCCACCTATGGGTCAGATGATTGTCTGCCACCATTAAGCAATTGGTAATTAAATATTTTTTTCTCTAAACAGTGTAAAATTTTGGAAACGACCGAAAGGTTTGCACGGTCGTAAGCAAGCAAGCAAGCACACAAGCAAGCATGCGAACTTAATATAAAGGATTTAATAAACAGACCTGTGGATGTTCATCTTGGTGGAGGCCACAGTGCGGTTCTTATGGGCGGTCTCCATCGCACGCACAATATCTTCCTCCGAGGTCACGGTCGTCGTGGTCAGGCCCGGCACGGTAACGCTCCTGGCCTGGCCACGCACCTCGAGGGGTCCTGAGCCCGGCTTGCCGAGGAGGTCCCTCACAGTCTCATTGTAAATCTCCAGCATGGAAATCTGCACAGCAGAGCACGACCAACCGCGTACGTAACTGCACTGGCGTATTGTAAAACAATGTAATATTACCAGGTATTTAGCTCTTTTTAAATCCTTTATATTAAGTTCGCTTGTTTGCTTAGGACCGTGCAAATATTTCGGTCGTGTTTTACCCCACTTCCCGTGATCCAATCGAGCTGACATTTTGCACCCAGACTCGTTGTGCGTGACAATGCATTTTCGTGAAAAAAAATCCAAAATTTTACACTGTTTAGGGGGAAAAAACAAATATTTAATTACCAATTGTTTAATGCTGCCAGACAATCATCTGACCCATAGGTGGCAGCCATCTCAAGCCAGAGGACGAGAGGACTCTAGCCGCCCGATGCCACGCATATAAAGGATTTATAGTGAAAAACTTTATTTTTACGGGTTAATTTTTTCAGATTCGACCTGGCCACAGATGATATTTCAACAAAGTGGCTTATCGTGAGGACATTGATAGCAGTCAAATACTCTAAACGCACGTTCATTCTAAAATGGGGAGGGAAAAAATGGAAGGATCCGGAGAAAAATCCATCCGACCACGGGGAAAACATGCCAACTCCAAATATACAGGCGTCAGGGGCGGTATCAAACGCCCGATCTTCCGTATACCAGGCGAGGTAGTTAACATCTCGCCACAGTGGATTGTCACTAAGGGCAGGTGGGGCCGGGCCCATTGAGTGAAAAAGAAAAAAATTACATGAACCTTCACAATAGTTCACATTGCTTGAAGCAAACGTGACTGCTGATGAGATACTACATGCCGAAACAGCTGAAAAGATGCACTTCTAGAAAGCCTTGTGACTCACGGGAAATGTAAAATAAAAATAGATATGTGAAGGAAATATACGATCTTCTTATTTATTAAGTTATTTATATTCTCCACGATGATGCACGTGATTATTTTGTGTTAACAGCACAGTGCTCACCTTTTCATTATAAAGATTACAAAACTGCACAAACCACCCTCAATTCCCCTTCTCCCCTTCCCGTGCCGATGTCCCAATGGACCGACCCCTCACCCTTTGGATCTTCACGCCCCACCAATTTGCTGTCAAAAAGACAAAGAACCCCTGTGTAGCCTTAACAGACTGTAGGGGCAAGTTCTGTTAGCGAGCACCTATAAAGGCCGGCACGGCACGCGAGGGGGTGGGTGGCCAGTACCACGTCCGGCCGCCTTTGTATCCCCAGTGGCGATGTTTACACATCTCACCGGGTACTCATTTGAGGCTGAGTCGACCTAGGGGAGGCCCAGAATCGTCACTGGTGTCGGCTGCGAGCGGAAATCGAACTGGGGTCCCCATTACCGAAATTCTGCACAGGGACACGGACCAGCCACCACTCCTATCATTTCAATGGATGTAGAGGGCGCTATTGGCAGATCCTATTATCCCAGTGAAATCCGCGAGAATAATAACCAAATCACGTGGACTGCACCCAATCCCATCAGATCTTAGTAGCTGAGCAGGGTTGAGCATAGACAGTGCAGGTCGTCATATGGAAGGCGACCGATATGTACAAGCAGGTTGTCATAGGGACGCGGGGCTATGCTGTGGGCAGTGCAGCAAAATAAACTGTTGTACCCTACTTCTATGCTCCCACACTCTAAGCTCCTCACCCACACTGACCGGTGTTATGAAATGTGGTCAAACATAACTCCCGCAACTCGCTGCGTGGGGAGGTCTTGTGCAGCATTGAATTAACAAAACGGCCACAATTTCGATTTAAAGCTTTCGTGACTGCAGGGATTCATCTTCTTGGTTCTTTCGGTAAAGTCACGTAGAAGGCAAGTAATAAAATAATAAAAAGAATAAAATAATTCTCACGACGTTTCGGCCACAACGCAAGCAGCCGTCCTCAATGCGTTGTGGCCGAAACGTTGTGATAATTATTTTATTATGTTTAATTTTATTATTTTATTACTTCCCTTCAACGTGACTTTACCGAAAGAACCAAGAAGAAGAAAAAACGGCCACATATACACGTCTATTTAAAATCTCCAGCACTGCATAAACATCCTGTCGATTTGCTAAATAATCAGAGGTGATATGCATTTTTAAAGTATATATTTCACAATACATATGTTTTGGTGATTATTATGTGCACATGTTAAGGTAATAGTGGCTTTTTGCACATTGCACGATGCGGTACTTGCGGATGCTATCCAGTGGAATGGTGTTTGTTTCGCAAGCGCAGGAGTAGCGAGTTGAAAATGTCATGTGGAATTTGCTTAACAATCCGTCATGGAAGGCATTTACATGAGACAGGACCAATTTCAGTCCACAATTCTGTAAGCCCAGAAGTAATGATATTTCATGGATCATTATTCTTTACTTAACATATGAGGAATTGCATTTTTAGCTGAGGTGGTTTATTGATAACATTTTAGGAGAATTATCTTTACAAATCGTAGCCATTTTAAAATAAATATAAACATTGTGGGGTAATCGTTTCTGACCTTCAAAGTATACTTGACATTGTGCCTTTCTTTGCAGATTTTAAGAAGCTCTTTTACAGACCTGTAAAATATAACATAGTATACTCACATTGTATTTGCATGTAAGACTTCACAAGCATAACTACAATGTTATTTTTATGTTTGCTTTATGCACAATATGCATTTCAATATTTAATGAGAACACTGATGCAATACTAGAATGGCATACTCATACGAATGAAAATGTATTCTGATTTAAAACTGAACCTCGTTATATTTGATTATGGGCCCATAATCTCTCGCACTAAAGAGCTCACGGTAAGACCATGCGAAAAAGCCACACAATCAATCGTCTCTAACTATGTGTGATGGCAAGGCAATCAGAAACAGATCGGACTGCAAAGCAAAGCAAGCGCTGTGGTAAACAACATCGGTGCGAGCATTTCATCATGAGTAGCGAAGAGCGAGGCGCGCCTGACTAAACGCGGGCGAAGGTCGGAGCAAAATTAGGAGCCGCGGGGTTTGGCAACAAAATGTATGCAACTGCTGAAATCTGTAACGGATACGTTCTCGTAACGAGGCTTTTTCATGCTTGCACGCGGCTCTAACAACGTCCCATTGAGCAGCAATTTCTCAGAGAGCTTTCTGCGAAAGACGATTTTTTTTTTGGCGGTAGGTATCTTGCACGCGATGGCGGGATTGGGTTTTGTTGTTGTTGTTGTTTTTGCGGTGACTCACCGGACGTTGACGCCTGGAGCGTTGGAGGTGCCCATCATCGTGTGGGTCTTGCCGGAGCCGGTCTGGCCATAGGCGAGGATGCACACATTGTAGCCGTCCACGCAGGAGGTGATGAGTGGCAGTGTGTCTGCAAAGACTTGCTCCTAGAAGGCAGCAGCAATCGCTTTACAGCAGTGGCAGCTGCTCTGGGCGTTGGGGAGATGCCCCGCTTGAAACTTGCTTCAATTTCCTTTCATTTTCAAATTTAAAAAAGGAATCGTAAAATCCTTTTTTTCCCAATTAATTAACTTTGTTTTGATTTCAAATATAATCCCATAGAATCAATAATAGAGATATGATTTTGCATTGATTTGGGAAACCTCATGTGTCGCTCCTCGTGAAATGAGAAATTTTGGCAGCTCACTAGCCAATCCAAACCACTTTCATCGCTCAACAATATTGAGCTACGGGGGGCACCTGAGGTTCCGCCATAGGCAGCGATGGCATCACACCGCCAAAGATTTGAGCCACGAGCCAACACTGCCTGAACAGGGCACGCCATGCAATGATTTTTGAATAATGTCTCGCTCGTTATTCATTGACTCAACATTAACTCAGCTGGCAGGTGTCCAGATATGCTCATTAATCAGCGCACTGATACAGCACCGATGAGACCCTGGGTTTGAATCTGGGTTTCATCCATCGTTTAGTAAATCTAGGCTCTCAAGCTTAGTGAATTGATAATCTCAACCTGGTCACCAATGCCTGCACACACCAAAAAAAACCGATGACGTAAAAAACAATTTTCCCGAAATTGTATTTGGTCAAATTCGTGCATTGAGAAAGAAAACCCATTGGCTTGGCTGCCGATCTGACAAACATTTCTCTGCGCAGGATGTGCGGGAAAGTGCATATGGATTGGAAGGATTAAATAGGTCACTTGAAGGGATTATTTCGTGATATCTCCTTCTAACACGAGCTGCTGCGCTGCTCTGCCAGAGGTCAAGATTAATAGTTGTTCTCACGACATGATGCGAATAGCACAGTTTTGATAAAACTTTGGAAAATACTGCTAATTTACACAAATTAATTCAAGCGTTGATTATTTCTGAACCACATTCATACCTGTATATTCAAATATAAATTTCAATCCAGTTCAGGAATGAAAAAACATACTTTCTGATTTTCAGTAAAAAATATATATCTAAAATGCAGTTATATCAACATGAGAGTGAATTTAAAATGAAAGAAAACGAATATCAATTATTGTTCTAATATGTTAAAGAAGATGGATAAAAAAAACACGTTGAGTAATGCTACCGCGTAGCTCCATGATGTGTTTTCGGTTTGCACTGCACGCTCTTCGGCACGATGTTCGACGTTTCAGTCCCTGAAGAAGCTTCTAGAACGTGGAGCAAAACGTACCTAAAAGCCTCTTGCGTCCTGCATATGGACAGGTGGAGTAAAGGCACGATAGCCAGGAGGGTAAAGAGGCTTCGGTACCAAACCCCACCCCCCACAAGAAAACGTCAGAGAGCTGTAAGACGATTTAAAGCTTTCGTGACTGCAGGGATTCATATTCTTGGTTCTTTCGCGAAAGTCACGTAGAAGGGAAATGATAAAATAATAAAAAATTAAAAATAATAAAATAATTCTCACGACGTTTTGGCCACAACGCAAGCAGCCGTCCTCAGGTGAAAAACAGGGCTGTCGGAAAGACAGCGTCTGAATGAACACCACCAAGCTTGGCAGCTGTCTTTCCGACAGCCCTGTTCTTCACCTGATGACGGCTGCTTGCATTGTGGCCGAAACGTCGTGAGAATTGTATTTAATTACGTTTTATTTTTATTACTTTATTATTTCCCTTCTACGTGACTTTACCGAAAGAGCCAAGAAGCTGTAAGACGCTCAGCAAACGAATCCGCGTGACGCAAAGGACAACAGACACTGACCTGCGTGGCGTTTGGAGGGAAGACCTGATCGAAGGTGAACGACGTCGTTTTGCCCTCGCTCTGAATAACCAGAACCTCGCCTGCCGACGGAGAAAACTCCAAGCCGGGCACGCCGCCTTCGGCCGCACCTGGCCTGCCGCGGCAAAAGACGCGGATGTTCCCACGCAGTTCCGTGAGCTGGTCGTGCAGCAACCTCCGCTGCAAAGCCTCGCGCCGGTACAGCGATCGCGCCTCGTCCAGCGAGCCGGCGCTTGCCGCCGCTAGCCCGGCCATGCGACGCACCGCAAAGGCCAGGCTCTGGATCAGTCGGCCCAGCTCCCCCAAGTCGCGACGGGCACCGTCGGAGAGCTGCGCTCCGAGCAACGACAGCCCACGAGCCTCTGCTTGCGTCTGCTTCAGTGTCGTCCCGACGAGCAGTCTTGACGGGATGGTTGTCTGTTGAGCGACAGAAGTCAAAAAAGGACTTGGTCCACAAGGCTGAACGTGTCCTCTCGTCCGTAGGTAGAGCAACTATGCCACCGATTCACTGTATTCACTCGCTCACCAGCGGTCAGTCGTCTCCTTGTCTCTCTTCTAGCGCTACCACCATGACTATTGTTCCCGTGAACTGCACTGTTTGATTCCTCCACTCACGTTGAGGAATCAAGTCGAGTAGACTGGTCTGCTACGTCTCATCCATGCCGTGTTCAGCCACCGCATTGCGGGTATAACACACATCTCCGTCCCACTGCTCTCATCGCACTGTTCGACATTGGAAATCCATCCCATCGTCACTTTTATGAAGGTCTCATAAAATCGCTCAATTCCAGAAATGTATTACCTCTTATCTATTGTATGCTTGTTGCTGGCCACTTGGCATTTTGGGTCTTTGTGCCTGTGCTCAGCAACCGTGATAAAAAAGAGAGGGATTCCTGGGGGCCACACGGGAAAAAGCTCGGCCACCCATCGATCGAAACATCCACTTGGGAATGCAGAGAAGATCTGCATCATGCCCAGATCTTAGGGACCTTGAGGGGACATATGGGTGCAGCATGTCAATGATGTAGGCTGGGGAGAGATGGTGCACTGCTTCGTAAGTTAACAATAGGACGTTAACTGTATTATATGTGAAACTGGAAGTCAGTGCAGGAAGGTCAACACAGGCGTAATACGATGTGAAGAAGGCGTTCTGGTTAACACCCTAGCAGCCGCATTCAGGACATGCTGCAAATTAATCAGCACCTTCTTAGCCACACCAGGGGTAAGACATTACAATAGTCTATGCGAGATGAGATGAAGGCATGGACCAGCTTTTCTGCATCCGAGGTAGAGAGAAGGGATCGGATACGGGAGATATTCCAAGAATAGAAAAATGTAGTATTTGTGAACTTTTTAACGTCAGCCTTGAAGGACAATGTGGGATCACAGATGTGCCCTAGATTTGCGACTTCCCATGCCGGACTGATTACATGATCATCAATCGTAATGTTGAAGGGTGCAGCTTTATGAAGTTGGCGGGGTGACCCAATGAGCATCACCCCCGTTAAACACCGTTCAATTGAAGGAAGTTTTTTTGCAACCAACTATTGATGGAAGCCAGAACCGAAGTAAGCATGGAAGCAGATGAAGACTCAGTATGCAAGTACATTTCATTGTCGTCTGCATAACAATGCAACTTTAGGCCGAGATTTCGGAGCAAATGTCCAGTGGGACCATCTAATTATAAAAGAGGGCCAAGAACTGAACCCTGAGGAACCCTAAATGAAACAGGGCTGGTAGCAGATTAAGAATCTTCCAAAATAAATCTTACAATTCTGATTTAAAGGTCAGCAAACATCAGTTTTTCATTCGGGCTGCTTTTCAAATTAACTGGAAATGAGGTGTCATCACTGGGGTACAATAAACGGGGACATATCATGAGCAGAAAAATATCTCACAATACAAGAAGATAGGATAAATACTTGTAAATGCATTGTCTAAAGTGGTGTATTATTGTACAAATGCCAAAAAAGTGCCTTTTAATATCCCGGGAAGACTTGCGGATTTTCCTTGACAGATAGCTCAAAAACGTGGACATCCTGTGAGAACTGGGACAGGTGGCAACCTCAACTGGACATCTGTGGCAAAAACTACAGGACATCTGTGAAAAAATTAACCCGTAAAAACAAAGTTTTTCACTATAAATCCTTTATATGCGTGGCATCGGTTTTATTTTATTATTCAATTCTGTTTTTCTTGAGTAAGAGTTTCATTTTTATCACATTGGTATTTTAAATAAAATACGAAATTTTTTTTTCCTCGAAAATGGAAAATTTTGGAAAAATGTTTTCACAAAAATAAATTGTCACGCACAACGAGTCTGTGTGCAAAATGTCAGCTCGATTGGATCACGGGAAGTGGGTTAAAAACGACCAAAAGATTTGCACGGTCGTAAGCGCGCAAGCAAGCAAGCAAGTGAACTTAATATAAAGGATTTAAAAAGAGCTGTACAGCCAATTGTATTACTCAAAGTCACCTTTCTAACGGACGTCGCTGCCGGCGTTTTGGGCCTGTTCGACAGGAAGGCCTGAAGCCTGCTCTCCACCTGCTGGCAATGGGCCTCCGCCGATGCCACTTGACTCTGCAGACCGTGAACTTTGACCTCCATGCATTGTTTCTCTTGACGAAGTTCAGCGACCTGCCGTCGGGATCCTTCCAGTCGCTCTTGCGTTTCCCGCAGCTGCTTGCGTGTGTCATCCAAGGCCCTGCCGCCGCCACGCAGACCCCCGGTGTGAGCGGTGCCTTCGGAATGGCTTTTAAAACACGACAAATGTAGCCCCTGTCCGTGCACTTTGCAATGAACTTTTGAAAACTCCAGCGGTACCGCTGTAATGAGGCCACAACGTCAATTTAACCTCTTTAATGAGTAAGCTATATTTCGCTGCACTTTATTCATTATTAAATTTGTGTCATGCAAACAGCATGCCAAATTTATTTCAACAAAATGCACAATCGCTGAATTGCGTGGTTTTTTTTGCATGCCTTGGCAAGCACCCAAGATACATTTAAAAGCATATTTGTTTTTTTTTATTACTGTAAGCAGTACATTAGAAAGCTGTTAATTTCCCACGTACTTCATGATATCAATTCAAGTAAGCATCCGTGTCAACATAACTAAGCTTACCCTTGCGTCTTCAGCTCGGCAGTAACATTTGCCGGGGGTGCTTTTTTTACGTCATCACCATAGAGAGCGGTGTAGTTCGAAACAACTTCATCAGCATCGTAGTTGCACTGTCTGAGCATCGCCACAATGTCTGATTGGTCCTTCCAGGCTGGGATGGCTGCCTTTTGGGAATCCAAGCATAAATGTAACACGTTAGATGCTCTAATCACATTCGCAATGAAGATTGATTCTTAAGGTCATGATACTTAGACTGAATTGTGTAAGAATTGATTGTATGGATGTATTTAATTGGTTCGCGTGGGCCTCTGTAGCCACCAGTGGCCACTATATTCACTGCAATGTTAAAATAATAATCGAATCGTGACAATTTATTGAATCGTTGATGGGTAGGAGCAAACACTGTCACATTTTTTTTTCCCAATGAAGGAACCCGAGGGCAGTAGTGTCGTATCTACCATCATCATTTTCACTTTGTTCAAGGTATGCATTTCATATTTATTCGACGCAACATACCACGTAGAAATTAATAAAGGTAGTGAATTACATACTTGGACGAAGGTCAATTTGCTCCGAACAAAATCCAAACGGCACTCCCACTGTGCTGGGACATGCAGCCAGGCTCCGCTTTCCTCATCAAAGAACTTGCAAATCGTTCTCCTCTCCTGCGAATGGCAACAGTCGTGACGGGTTATGGTGCTCACTCATTCGGGGGGCCTTAAGCAGACATGATATTTTGGGGGGGCGGCGGGATGGGTGGGAGTGGGGCTCCCCTTTCAATTTCTCAACTCCTTGGTGAGTTGACGACAGAGGAGATACAGACGAGATACAGAGATATCGCCCCGTTCATTCTAAAAAGACCTAGTCACATGACAGAAGAGATTTAGACAGCGATGAGAGAGAGATATGTGGACAAGACGGAGCTGCAGTGAAATGAGAAGAGTGATATAAATGAGACAGATTGAGTGAAACGAGATATGTACACAAGAAGAAACGATGGAGTTTTATGAGAGAGGTGAAAACATGATATGGATAAGATAGATTAATTTGCCTTTTACTGTATTAAGATATATTAATCTAGCTGATAGTTGATTCACCATAATTGATTTTTATGAATCCTATGCCACTTGAGCTCAGATCAGAATCTTAATTTAGAATGCAGGAGGAGATATCCAATGAGCTATGACGCTCTTATTCGCAGATGTCCATCAGGGGCACGGGGTCAGCAAGTTACAACAACAACCGATACAAAATAAACGATAGGAGTGCAACATTGAGAAAATGGTAAGCTAGTCACTAAATATATATTCATAATTATTATTTATCAATATTGGGCAAGGCAGCAAAAGCAACCAGAAAATAGTCCCAGACCACACCAAGATAACAGCACACAGCTGCAGTAGTCCCTCAATACAATGTCACACTAACAGCGAACTATCGATACACATCTTCTTGGTTCTTTCGGTAAAGTCACGTAGAATGGAAATAATAAAATAATAAAAATAAAACATAATAAAATACAATTGTCACGACGTTTTGGCCACAATGCAAGCAGCCATCCTCAGGTGAAGAACTTCGGATGCTGTCTTTCCGACAGCCCTGTTCTTCACCTGAGGACGGCTGCTTGCGTTGTGGCCGAAACGTCGTGAGAATTCTATTTTATTATGTTTTATTATGTTTTATTTTTTATTATTTTATTATTTCCCTTCTACGTGACTTTACCGAAAGAACCAAGAAGATGAATCCCTGCAGTCACGAAAGCATTAAATCGAAATTTATCGATACACAGTTAATGATCAACGGTACAAATCACATTTGGGGACTTTTAGCTTGTGCCTAGCACCACCGCTGAGCAGTGATGCCAGTCTCGTAATGGGTTTGGATTTTTTCCACGGCAGACGATGAACGACTGCATGTCACCGACATCCTGCGCCATGTTCAAGTGCATTTTGGCAGGTCGGCGGCGGGTGACGTTACCTCGAACAGATATGTCGTCAGCTCGCCTTTGGTCGGGTGATGGAACATTCCGATGCGGTCGTCCTCCATCATGTTGACGCTGACATTGTGGGCACGTGCCTTGTGAAGGTCCTCGTGCCCACTGCCCCTGCCGGCAGACGGGCCCTGCGTCGAGTGGACGGGAGGGGGAGGGAAATTAGCTGCTTATAGCTCAGAAGATCCAGTGTACAGACGTGAAATGCGAACGAGCAAATACATGCATATGTACGAAATGATATATCGTAGAAGCCATCTTAACCACGGTAATTGGTTCTACGAAACCGGTCGTTAAGTGATTTGGTCATTAAGCGAGTAGAGGAAATACACATTAACGGCTTAATTCGTTCCGATAGGATTTGACAGTTACCCTTTTTCATCCAAAAAACCTACTTTATAACACTAAAATAATGGATATAAATACCTAAAGATGCTAACAACATTATACACACATAAAGAACCATGGTTACTCATTGCGTTAATGAATATTTACTGTGCCTACAACAGCCCATCATTAACAGGGGAATGGCTGGTGAGTGAACACATTGGGCTCTGTGGAGGCCCGTAGTTAAGTGATTAGTCGTTAACGGGGGTTTCTACTCTACACTACTATACACTACAATACTACTATACACTACACTACTATACACTACAATATACACTACTATACACTACACTAGTATACACTACACTGCTATACACCACACTACTATACACAGCAGTACTATACACTACACTACTATACACTACGCTCTACACTATACATTGGGCCCTATGGAGGCCCGTAGTTAGGCGATTAGTCGTTAACAGGGGTGGTCGTTAATAGGGATTCTACTGGACAGGAATATGACAAAGAATTTAAAGGGAAAAGTTCACACTTCACGACTGGGTCATATGCAAACCCCCACAATAAGAGAGATGCATATGCATTCTGAAGCAAATTGATTTACGTGATGCAGTCAGCCATTGCATTTGATTTCATATGCTTCATCACGCTGGTATCAGTGCAGGTGGGTGGAGGGGAACTCTGAGAACGTAGGAATAGTTTAGTTATCACTTCGCCGCTGTTGTTAGCCATGGGCAAACGATGACGCACAGGTCATCACTGGGGTCATAGCGCACTGATAAGCAAACTAACCCTGAAAACGTGGACTTACATGTACAGTACTAATAATATTCAACCGGTAATTTCGTTAAGCAGTCCCACTCTCGAGGAATTGCCAAAAAAAAGTTTACTGACGCATTTGTATTATATATTGCAATGTAACACAGTCATAATAATAAGTTCAACTTGTGACGTGCAACATTATTCATTCACGATCAAAGACGGTGAATGATGCAGAGGCGCGGGGAACCACAGACAAGCAGGGAAGGGTGAGCCAGCGCCAAATGACCCCACAAGCTCTGCGGTCCTCTATATACCAAGATGTTGCCAATTAATGGAGTGTTCACATGTGCGAGGACATGGGAGCACCCGGAGAAAAGTCACGCATGCGAGAGGGCAACACTCTATCCCATGCAGACTGAACCGTGGAGTCCTCCTTTGCTGTACCACCTTCTACCGGTCAGCCAGGATACGGCACCTCGATGCCCATGGGGAGGGAGTTTCGCAACATTTGCGTGATGTATGTATGTTGAACTTATTTCGCACCGTACATATCCAACCGTGCTATTCGGAGGTGCGGGGGAAAGACAACGAACTAAACATAAAAAGCGGAATTTGTTTTCAGTCGAAATTTAAATCTGCATAGCTCCAGTGGCTTCCTAACATCAGAATGAAGAGCGTTCCAGATGGCAGCAGAAGCGTGCCTGAAAGTGCGCCATGGAGTTGCCATCTTTGTTAGACGGCTTGCCAAAAGTCGCTGCAGTTCACGTAAACCAGCACATTCACAGTGCTGGATTACAGGCGTGCACCACCGCCGCCCTGTAATACAACACATTCCTGCGGAGGGAGCTGGTAGGAACGTTGGGTTGCTCGGTCAATGGCCAGGGTCAACGGCGGCGTGGTGTATTCCGCAAATACGGCCGACTGTGAGGGCGGGCACAAGCCGGCGTGAGTAGGTTAAACGTTGAGTTTTATAAGGGCACCACGGGGTGCCCAGCCCCTCCCCTCCCCACCCAGCCCCACCCCTCCCACCCTCCACCCAGCCCCACCCTCCCCTCCCCACCCTCCCCTCCCCACCCAGCCCTCCCCACCCAGCCCCTCCTCACCCTCCCCACCCAGCCCCTCCCTCCCCAGCCCCTCCCTGCACGACGGACGGACACAATAATCCTCTGTGGGCTGGTGTAACCAGAGGTTCCTACCAATATAACATAACTGTAGGTAGGCCTCGGCAAGGTAAGGTAAAAGTTAAACGGTAAAAAAAGACAAGAGAAACTTTACCCTACCTTTTACCTTACCACAATACAATCGCGCTACCCTAACTTTTACACTTTAGCAGGTAAGGTAAAAGGTAAAATAAGAACGAGCCTACCTTTACCTTACCTTTAACCCTTATCCCATACAAATTTCGCGATTACAGGGTAATTACTGGGGTAAAAAACATGGACATTTTTTTAACGATAAATGCTAGTTAGAGCGCTTTATGCATTTTTAGATTTAAAGCTTTCGTGACTGCAGCGATTCATCTTCTTGGTTCTTTCGGTAAAGTCACGTAGAATGGAAATAATAAAATAATAAAAATAAAACATAATAAAATCATTCTCACGACGTTTTGGCAACAACGCAAGCAGCCGTCCTCAGGTGAAGACCAGGTCTGTCGGGGAGACAGCGTCTGAATGAAACAGCACCATGCTTAGAGCATATATTTAATCTGGGTTGGAAGGGGGGGAAAGGGCGCCTTGACAAAATAATTTGCATATCAAGATGAATTTAGCATATTTATGGGAAATGCAGGTATGTGATTAGTACTACTTATGCCCGTGCATTATGCAGGATTAGCAGCATCAAAGGGAGGGGATATGGGAAATGCAGGTATGTAATTAGTACTACTTATGCCCGTGCATTATGCAGGATTAGCAGCATCAAAGGGAGGGGATATGGGAAATGCAGGTATGTGATTAGTACTACTTATGCCCGTGCGTTATGCAGGATTAGCAGCATCAAAGGGAGGGGATATGGGAAATGCAGGAATGTGATTAGTACTACTTATGCCCGTGCATTATGCAGGATTAGATGGAAGCATATTATATTTTTTACGACGTAGAATTGTAATGTATTACTTACTGTTAGTAACTCAGCTTATTGTAGAGTATATTTAGTATACTGATGATACTATGTAGTTTATACTTCAGTTGTTTACGTGGTGGTTTTAGTTACTGCAGCTACATACTATTAACACTCCTTCCCTTTATTAATGCTACCCCTATCCCCTCCTTTTGATGCTGCTAATCCTGCATAATGCACGGGCATAAGTAGTACTAATCACATACCTGCATTTCCCATAAATATGCTAAATTCCTCTTGATATGCAAATTATTTTGTCAAGGCGCCCTTTCCCCCCCTTCCAACCCAGATTAAATTTACGCTCTAAGCATGGTGCTGTTTCATTCAGACGCTGTCTCCCCGACAGACCTGGTCTTCACCTGAGGACGGCTGCTTGCGTTGTGGCCGAAACGTCGTGAGAATTATTTTATTATGTTTTATTTTTATTATTTTATTATTTACATTCTACGTGACTTTACCGAAAGAACCAAGAAGACGCTTTATTCATATAGAATACTCTCAAATCGGGCGTTTAGGCTGTCGACGACACCATCCTCCATAACCTTCTCGTCCCAGTTGTCTTGGTCGATGGCGATCTCATCAACATCCTGATCAAGTTCGTCATTGCCGTCATCCTTGGACGGACGACAGGCAATAAGATCCTGCGCCGCTCTGGCCCAGTTAGACGGAACCTTCAGGCAGCCAGCCGTGATCCATGAGCGCAAGCACATGGACTTTATGAAGAGCGTCGTTGACAGCGACTGGCGAACGCACGTGAACTCCCGCCCGGCTCCGCTATTCGCACGTTCACAGGGAGTTGACGTCGCCGGCGCTCCCAAGTAGTCGCAGGCCATCTTGTAGTGGGCAGGGAGCAGCTCTTTGCAGGGAGACCACCACTGCATTACATCAATGAAGGCGCTGGCGGTCGTGACGCCCGTGCTCAGAAAACGATCGACTTCATCGCCGTCGTCTATGGAGTTGCCGACGTTGCAGATTACGGTGCTGAACAACGACCGCTCCTCCATATGGGCAGCAACTGCCGTCGGCGAGATCGTGAGCACGTCCGAGTAGCGATGCTGCAGGACAGAGCGGATTGTGGCCTTTAGTGTAGCCAGCTCGTCTTGGTCTGTCGTTTTCGGCAGCTGTGGATTCAAGTAGGATGCCACAATGGCGGGTTCCTGAACCAGGAGGTTGCGGTACCGCACCAGTTTGGTCTTCATCCCCGTCGCAGTCAAGGGCTCATCGATCGCTCTAAGGGCGGCTTCACCGCGATCGCAATGACGGACGAGGTGCTCCATCGTCACCGGCACGAGATCCAATGTCGAATTGTGGTCCGCCGACAACGAGGGCATGACCTGGCACGGCATTCGCAGGAATGCTGTCACGCCCTCGGTGTTTGCCCACTGCAGTTCAGATAAAGCACCGACACCGATCACATCCTGGAAGCACGCCATGATAATGTCCAATGGGACACACTTTTGATGGCATCGTCGCCCATGTCAAACGTCGAATGCCACCTTGTCGGCGAGTCCTGGTGCGTCGGCTCCTTGCTGGCGAGCTTGGCGATCTCAGCCTCGCGTCGGTACGACTGCCGGACGACCTTGCTGCACCTGATATTGACGAGCGCCTTGTGCAGTTCGGCATTTGTTGACTCGATCAGTTTTAGAACTTGGACGACAGCTGATCTGGACGGAATGATCCGCACATCGAATATGGTGGCAAGCCTGCAACTGCTCATATCCGGCGTCCACGTTGACCAGGGCGAACAACGTCTTGACAACATTGTTTGCATCGGAGCCATTGTCGCTGGTGACAGCGAGCAGCTTGGTCGAGATATTGTGCCCGAGGCTTTGGAGGTGCTCAAACAGAGCGGCCCCAATGCGCTTGCCGACACCCCTTCCGGACTGCACATCGAGGATTGTCAGCAGCATGGATTTTGACGCACCAGATTTGCTGTCGATCCAGTGCACCAGTGACCATCCAAAATCCCTTCAGGTTGTGGTTCGACCACCCGTCGATGGTGAGACGTCCAGGTTGGAGAAGAACGTCCCGACGATGGGCAGCATGATGGCGTGATGCTCGACAATCCTGCGAATGATGGTGCGGGTCGATGGGCCCTCGTATCCCTGCGTCAATGTGTGGACCAAGGTCTTGAACTTGTCGCTGCCGGCGGCTCGCAAAGAGATTGCACCTTGGATAACAAAATCCACCACCGCGTTCTCAAACTTTACCAGGAGGCGATCCGGGATTGCTGGCCGGCTCAGCGTTTGCTGTATTAGGCGGCTCGCCGACACCGACGTCCCGACCTCGCTGCCTGGGGCGAGCACGTTGTGTTTCTTGAGGTGGGCTTTCCACCCCGACGCGTTCGTGTGGGTGGAAAACCACTTGCGGCAGTGCACGCACTGCAGCTTCCCTTGCTGTGCATGCGGATCACCCTCCATCCAATCGTGTGTGTGCTTCCATCCCATGGGAACGCATACCGCTGCCTCTTTCGATTGCTGTTCGCAGCAACCCCAAAAAAGCTGTTGCTGGCACCCTCGTCCTCTAGTACCTCGACCTCAAGAACGTGGACCGTCTCCATGTGCTCCGCCTATCACTTTAAAATGGAGGCCACGGACTGCGTCACTGCGCCACGGAACTTTTAGCGGTAAACAAGGTACTGTATTTACCGGGTAATTATTCGCCCTACCCTTACCCTACCGGGTAATTCTTCTGAGCTACCTTTACCCTACTCTTTACCTTACCCCTTGGCATGTCGAAACCTTTACCCTTTTACCCGGTAATAAAGGTAATTTACCTTACCTTTCCGAGGCCTAGCTGTAGGTATATTTTCAATGTGTGTACCGTACAAGGAATTTGCAACGTGTGACCATTATCTTACTTTATTTTGAGATGCGTCATTGAAAAATGTCCCCTGATTTTCCCACTCTTCGGGAAATGGAATCATCCCCATGTGTGGCTGAAACAACAACACATTTACATTCATGAGCACAGCACATTGACAAAAAAAACACACATTGTTAATTGGCAATACGTTTATATTGTGGGTGATTGCATTTAAACTTTGAAGATTGCATTGGCAGCTCACCCTGTTTTCATCAAAGTACAACCGCACTCCATCTTGCATGATGCAGGAGTAACACGTGCCATTGTCATGGACAAAGGTATCAAATATCAATGATACTTCATCATCTTTCATATCCTGCGCAGAAGAAAAAAAACACACATTCACATCAAACGTTGCATATAGTTATGCTAAAACACTACGTGTTGAGGATGAGTTCTGAATAAAAAATATATGCTCGCATTGACCCAAGAAAACAAGCAACCTTTGGCCAACGTCAACGTGGTTGGAACTATTAACCAAACGTTCGCCCAACGTTGCCCCAACATTCCATGTTCACGGAGGGTGCATTCATAAGGTACAAATATACATATGAAGGATGTCTTTCTGATTTCAGTGTATTGCAAAAATTGTGAAAATTGTGCCCAAGTACAACATTTCAATGATCCAGTTTGTGTTTTGTTTCAGTTTAACAAAAGTATCACTTCACGAGAAATGACGTGACGTATACATACCTGTCAACCCCTTATCAGTGCCTACCTTCAGACCTTATTGGTCACCCCGTGCCCTTATAAATCTCAACGTTCATCCTACAAAGTCCCATCACGAGGGATAAACACAAACAAATAGGCAGAAACAAATTGCCTGTATTGAAACGGCTGTATGCCGTATGGACCTGGAAACTCCCATTTCCCTGCATAAGAATACGGGTAAACCGTATGGGTTGACAGGTATGCGTATACAATGCCACTTCTGTACTTTCCCGGTAAAAGTGGTGTCATGTGGCATCGGGTGATACTTTTGTTAGCATGAAGACATGCTAACATGTAAATTATTGCACAATGTGAATGATCCAAACATGATAAAATCCTTAAAAATATCCACAAGTGTTCTTGAAAATCTGAAAAAGCGAAATCCAAAGCATTTAATTCAGAAACTCATCTCGAGTTACATACTTGTGTATAACCTGGTGTCACTTGCAGTCTGGTCATGTCATACGCATCCTCGTAAACATGCCAACGTTGGGGCAACGATGGTATCTGGCCGGAATCATTGGACCAACATTGGGCCCGATGTTTGCTCAACATCCCGCGTTTGACTGGGCTCCTGCAGTTTGGGAACCACCCTTCTGAAAAATTGGCTCCACGATAGACTCACCTCAAAGTCAATATAAAGCCTGTTGTGCTGCGAGCTCGCGTCATCATCTTCTCGATCTTTCTGTCCAGAGATGTTGATCTCGTGCGGTTGAGCACCCACTACTTCGAGGGTGGAACTCGCCCGTGTCCCCCTTTTGGCGGCGGTACGTGACTGAGCAACGGACTGATCAACAACCACGGCCTTATTGGCGTTCGAGTTCAGAACACTTGGGGAGCTGCCCATTGCACGCCTCTATCTGAGCAAGGAATGTTTGGCTGATGTGCCCAAAGCAGCCTGATACCTGGATGGGAAAAAAACATTCTAAATTACTGTTGTTATTCCAGCCCTTAAGTGCACAATAATGTTATGAGATGCTAATTCAACAACAAAGTATTCCAGGGTCAACAGATACTTTTCACACATGGGTTACTTTCACACAATGTCATACATGTACGTATGTACGTTGAATTTATTTCGCATCGTACGAAGCCAACCGTGGTAATATGATGTGCAGGGGAAGGACAACAAACTAAACACAAAACATTTGTGCCAAAGAAATGAGTTTTAAATCTAGATTTAAAAGTGCACAAAGTATTTAGGCTCACAGTTTAGCTTCTGCTACATTTGCTAATTTAATTTAATTACTGCTGATAAATACGTAACACAAAATAATGATTATGAATACAATACAGATGAATATTGGTAAAGGAAAAACTACGGACCGATTACCACCAAATTAGTCACCCAAACTTGACAACATGCACCACACTCTCACATTCTAATGGCTCCTACACAATCCTCCTCAAAGCATCACCCGATTCGCTCCGTCTCTTCCACTTATAGCATTCACCCCCGGTGTGGGGACCCTAACTCGCCTGCTCGTGTTAGTCCACTGCACTTTACCACCGAAATCCGTCTAACCAATACGTTGTACTGTCTACGTGGTTTTTTTTATTCCAATAAAATACTTCTGGCAAAAGAAACAACAAACCTACATGACATCTACTACAGTGTACAATTTAGTTTATATTTTTTTAAGTTTAACACGAATATTTTTGTGGGAAATTTGCATATTCCAATCTGTCAGTTCACAGCCAATTGAGACATTACCTGAACAAACATTTGTCTACGCAGAATGGCTGCGGTCTGTGACATGCACACTGCAGTCTTGATTGAAGTGATTTAACAAATACTTGCCGTGCAGCCGTCCCAAGCGATGATTCCAAGCTGTTTCTGAACGATCGCTCCAATCAGTCTCGGTAACTGTTGCCACAACAGACCAAATACCACTTGTGTGTGTTGGAATGACTGTGTGCTTTTGCATCCGATGTTGACACAACGCTCACAATTGAGCATGTGTTCTTGGCTATTTAAAAACCACTGTACAGTACTTACCAATCATCTACGTGTTTTTACATAAGTGTTTTCTGGTAGACCTTGGGGGGGAAGAAACGTTTTAAAAATGGATAATACGAAAAGTTTGTTGTGATATATATCACGTCACATTTACAGTTCCCTGTACAGTGACGTTTTTTAAAATAAACATAGTGAAAGTATCGTGATTAATTCACAGAGAATGGGGTCATTGCATTAATTAACTTATAGAATAAAAAACCCTTGGCCGGATAAGGTCCATGGGGTTGCTTGACCATACTTTACTCTGGTCATAGTGGATTACAGAATACACAATACAGTCACCGACTTACGAACAACCACAGTTAAGAACGAGCTTCCATAACATATTTCTTTTAACCACCCGACGTGAATTCACAATTGCGAACCACTATTGTGTTCAGTGGAGGCATCCTGCGCGCGAGATGTAATGAGTTCCAGCATCCCACTGGGGTTAAGTGTTTGTGTGTGCTCGCGCCTGTGTGTGCGTGACATTTTGGGGACTCATTAAGCCCCTTTCGACAAGCAAGCCAGCATCAGGACTCAAGGTAAGTGAAAAAAAATCATGTTTTTATTTATTTACGATACAGTACTTATCACAATATTACATACAAATGTACAAGATTCGAATTTTATATTTTAACAATTTCACTTTTTTGTTGAACCTTAACACATTTCAAAACGCTGACTCTATGGGCGTTTAAACACAGCGCATTTTGTGTTCCGACCGACGAACTGTTCGACTCACGAATGGGTCTGGGGAATTGAACTAGTTCGTAAGTCGGGGACTATCCGTACGAATTATACTGCACAGCAGAATCGAAATTGTCTCAACCCGAATTATCGACTTATTCGTGCCCCCAATGAAATCCACAACAATCATGTTATCCACACTTCTCTATGGTTACATGAAGTAAATTAGGAGTTGTGAAATATTATTCCTATTATCCGGGCTTGTTTGCCCAGAAAGTGCCAAATTGACAGTAATGCAAATTTTTGTTCTAACAAATTGTAAGATCATATACTGTATAGGTCGCAATAGGATCTTGGATACAAATGAAAAAAAATGTATGACATATTGAATAACAAAGTTTGGAAAAATAAAATGTTAACAAAAAAATTATAATTTGCACTGCTGTGGAGAATGTGACTAATAAAGAATTAGACAACACATCTCCATATATCTATCCCTGCAAATAAATATGAAAGTATTTTTTTACACCATCATCAAGCCCACATGGCATTTTGGGAGGGCATAATTTACGTGGTATTGGTTTAACACAAGGGAACGCTGGACCGGTTTTGAGACGCAGTGTCGCATCAGCAGTCAGGCTTGCTTGAACAAATGCTGCTTTAAATGCAAGGGACGGTATAGGCACGGACCCTCTATTTTGGATATGGCTCCTAAATGTGTCATTTGTATCATACGTTTAAAGCCATTATTTTTGTTTTAATGACATTATTTCCAGATTCACGAACGAGACAAAGCTGCTGTATTTTTCAAACACCGCTGCATAATACCCAATAAAAAAGTACAGCTATTTTAATCATCTACAACCTCCACAAGAGTTGATTTGCAGCCTTATCTTGGCGGGGAGGGAGATGCCCCTAGAAAACCAAGAATCCCACGAAATGACACGTTTGGGCAACGCCTTCAGTGGGTCACTCGTCGTGACGTCACATTGCATTTACTATCACGCATTAGCACCGCTCGCCTATCCATACTGGAAAGTTCAATCGTAGTATTAACCGGTTTCAATGACACGGAACTAAATATTGTTTTATTTCAGCAGGTAAGGCCCAACTGAGCTATAACAAGTATAACCCGTAAAAACAAAGTTTTTCACTATAAATCCTTTATATGCGTGGCGGCTAGAGTCCTCTCGTCCTCTGGCTTGAGATGGCTGCCACCTATGGGTCAGATGATTGCATGGCACCATTAAGCAATTGGTAATTAAATATATTTTTCTCCTTGCACAACGGACGGACACAATAATCCCATGTGGGCTGGTGGAACCAGTGGGTTCCTACCAGTATAACAGCAAACCTGTCAAGCCCTTATCAGTGCCTGCCTCATTACACACCAATTCAGACCTCATTGGTCACCCCCGTGCCCTTTTAAATCTCAACGTCCATCCGACAAAGTCCCATCACCACAAAGGGAGAAACACGGATAGACAAAACATGATGTCACTCAACAAAAACAGTTTTATGAATTAATTCTAATTGGTGTCAAAGATGCTGCTTATGCTGTGATCTTGCATGCTGCTGCTACTTGACATGTGGATGCACATGTCAACAATAAACACAGAAAAATTATGAATGGATTTTTATTTTTCCAGCATTGAGACGTCTGTACGCCGAATGGACACGAACACTCAAATGCACAACACGGGGTTAGACCCTTTGGGTTGAGACTGCTATGCCAACAGCAGGTGTCAGGGTCAGGGTTCGAACCCTGTTCAACAACACGGGGTTAGACCCTGTGGGTTGAGGCTGCTATCCAACAGCAGGCGTCAGGGTTCTAACCCTGCCATCAACAACACGAGGTTAGACCCTGTGGGTTGAGGCTGCTATGCCAACAGCAGGCGTCAGGGTTCTAACCCTGCCATCAACAACACGAGGTTAGACTCTGTGGGTTGAGGCTGCTATCCAACAGCAGGCGTCAGGATACGAAACCCACGCCACAAACCTCTCGCGCACAGCAGGCGCGAGGGAGTTCAGCATCTCCCTTAGCCACTGCGGCGTCTCGAACACAACTCATGAGGGGTTGGCACAAAAACAGAGACAAAGATCCCCCGTGTAGCCTCAACAGACTGTTGTGGCAAGTGCTGTTAGCGAGCACCTATGAAGACCGGCACTGTGGCACACGAGGTCGTGTGTGGCCAGCACCACACCGACCGCCTTTGTCTCCCCAGTGGCGATGTTAACTACACACGCCGCACCACGTACTCATTTGAGGCTGAGTCGTGAGACCGGGTGGCCAATTTCGTATCGCAGCGCGCTAACTGCTGCACCACCGCTCCCCACACTCACACGTGGTAGGCAGCGCACACGCAGTAGACACGCCCACACGGGGTAGACACGCCCACACGCGGTAGACACGCCCACACGGGGTAGACACGCCCACACGGGGTAGTCACGCCCACACGCGGTAGACACGCCCACACGGGGTAGACACGCCCACACGCGGTAGACACGCCCACACGGGGTAGACACTCCCACACGCGGTAGACACGCCCACACGGGGTAGACACGCCCACACGGGGTAGACACGCCCACACGCGGTAGACACGCCCACACGCGGTAGACACGCCCACACGCGGTAGACACGCCCACACGGGGTAGACACGCCCACACGGGGTAGACACGCCCACACGCGGTAGACACGCCCACACGTGGTTGGCACGCGCACACGTGGTAGACACACGTGGTTGGCACATGTGGTAGACACGCCCATACAACCGCCATCTTAGGTAGGGAGCCACGGTACATCGCAACGCGCTCGACTGCCTCAACACGGCGCGACCATCGCAGTTGTGGGGGGGTGGGGGGGGGGATCACCGCAATTGTTGCGTGGGGCAAGGTGGTGGTGGAGGAGGGGTGTGGGCAGGGAGGTAGGGGGTGTGTACGGAGCAGGTAGTGGCTATCCCCTCTCCCTACGTAACATGGCAGCCACGAGGCCGGCTTTTGGTTTTGCTTCGCTCGCCCCTTCCCCGCCACTCGCCGCCGCCCGGTGAAAATGAATGTCGATCTCGCCGTCCGCTCCGTCCGCACGTTCGCCGGTTCTTCTTCCCCAGACGGGGCTCGTCTCGTCGCCTTCACCTTGTTAGGTCTCCGCCACCGCCGCAGTCGTCACAAGACGATCCGCTGACGGCAGCAGCAGCAGCAACCGCGGGGATTTCTTCTTCCTTCACGAGCTTCTGGCGAGACAGTGCTCGGCACAGGCCATGCCACGCTCGAGAAAACACAAGAGAGGTGAGGCTGGGCCCCGCGGCGAGGTTTGTAGCCTAAAGCTGCTACTGTGTAAGAGTTGTGTGTGCGGCAAGGTGCGTCGTTTAATGCATCGTTAACACCGCGGGTCTGGACGGCATGGATACCGTGCAGGGTGACAGCTCGAAAGGGGGTCAAGGGGGTTAAACCGACAGCGCCCTCCACACATTGTAACAAATGCCTCCCTCTTAACCAAACACACGACTGGATACGCAACGCCGAGCGGGATGCCTCACTAATGCTGCTTTGGCTAAGGGTTGTAGATGTAAGAAATCCGTGTAATGTGACCTCAACAACTGCACTAACATCATTAGTGCACTAACCTGAAGATGAACACAGAAAAAAGATATATACACGGAATTGTATTGTCACGCACTGTCTGATACGATTTCGAATCGGGTTTTAAAAAAAATAAACAACTAGGAAGATTAATTGTTTTTCAGCATTTGAAGTCAATTTGCTTTAATTTTGTGGTCTCGTCAAGGAAGCTCGTTTATACAAGAGGCGAGTTCACATTGCCTCGTCTTTACGAGCCTGTCAGACGGATGGAGAAGTGTTTCAATTCCACTCTGGCAAGCCCGCGACACATAATATGAGCTATTTGGGGACTGTTTAATAATTTAATGTAACCTATTATGACTCAACAATACTGGATATTAAACACTAAAATATAATCCTAACCGCGAAAACCTCATTTTGACACCCAACCCCAAACTCCTAAAACCAAACCTTAAACCCCCTAAAACTAGCCCTAAATCCTAGACCCCATCCCATAATTCGTAATCCAAACCCTAACTTCTCAACCAAAACCTTATGCATGATCGTAACCCCGGATCCCATAATTTGTCATCCCCTAACATTTCATCAACAAGCACCAACAAAGGTCTGTACTTGGACGAAAATCTAGTTTCATGATTGGATAAAACAAATTTGCAGAGAGGAGTTAGT